CAAATAAGATATACGCTTACCAAGATGCATCATTTCACTTTTCACTTGATAATTATTTCTACACCATCATGCTTTAATAGATGTGAATTCATATCCTCATAAACTTTGACAATATTGTGCGCTATTTTATCAAAGGTATCGTCAACGAAATATCATTTTGTTTCAATTCACAATAGACATAACTTATTGAGATCTCATCACTTCATTAATTTTAGTTAGCTACCCCTTTCATCAGATTTTATAAAGTGTTATGTCGTAGGCTCTCCAAGAGCACATTATATCCTTATTATGATCATTTAATACTTTGATCATCCACCTTTTTCAAGGATTATTTTATTTAGAATTGATTAGTCTATCATGCTTCATGCATGTCATAGACTCTATTGGACATTCAATAGGAGTATTTACAATTTTTGTGTTGCTTCTAATCTCCCTCTCTTATGTAAGACAAACTAACATATATCTCAATCTTTTGGAGAATCTATCTTTGTGCATCATAGTATATTCATTATTCATATATTGCAAATTAAAATTATCAGATGAAAACTATTTGGTTTCTGACCATAAACCAATTAACAGAAAAATTGATCATAACTTATTGGTTTGACTCATACAATTACGTTTGTATGTAATATCATATTTCAGTTCAACACATGAAACATTATTTTCATAAGCAATAATTCACTATGTGAGACATTTCATGTCACATCATCTTATAAATTTATCAATATTATCAAGGTGAATTATCTTAATTTCATATTCTGAAAGTTATGCTTTTAGCTCAATTATCTTGCACAAATAATTTTGTTAATGTCAAACTACAAGTTGACAACAAGCGCACATGTGATTATCTTATTGATGCATCTTTTTATCATATCACATGATAGGTAAACGGACCCATATTCACCTTTTATACTTTTCAGAATTTAGGGATTTAGTCCCAACTTTAGTTGATCCAATCAACATTATCACGAGAACAAGCAACGTAAAAAATTCTTGAAGAATCTTCTAGTTTTTCAATGTATGTCTATTACTCAGTATGCACATCTTTGGGATGACCTAATTATTCTTGCCAACTATAAAATTTGTAGTACTCGTAAACTCCAAGTTTACTACGCCATGTGTCTTTTTCTTTAGTAAATTTATGATTTACTATTATATGAGTAAATTTCAATTTATTACTCCAAGAGTAATTTTCAGATTTATTTCTTCTCAATTACCTTACCCTTTAGGTGAGTCGTGATTCCATAATTGAATGAACTAATATGAAGAAAATTGTGCATATAAACATATTATTTGTGCCAACAATTTTGCAAACATCAAGTTGCGAGATAATAATAGACATACATGAGACCATATATATAGAAGAAACATTTATTAGGACCATTAAATAATTAAACAATCGACTAGGTGGATGACTAGGTCCACAAATATCTGTATACGTTTCTAGAACGCAGAGAATTCAATCTCAACTTTCGTTTATGATGGTCTCACAATTAGCTTGTCTTGCTTACAAGTAGTACAAGAAAATTCACCATTTAAAAGAATTTTTAGTTTCTTCCGTGGATGTTCATTTTAATTTTTCATAATTCCTCTAAACATTATATACTAACGATGTCTCATACAATCGTGTCAAATTAAGAAAGTATTGGAATTAGTAAACTTCTTATTTACCATAGAATGTGTCTCAATTGCACTAATTACTATCCAATAAAAGTCATAAGATAAAGTATGAAACTTTTTTTATCATAGGTCTGCCAAGAGACAATTTTGGTGATACCGCATCTACAATAAAAAAATTGTGATCTTTTCCACGCCTAGCATGATGACTTACACCTCATTCACTTTAAAGAATGAATCTTGTACTTTTACCATTTGTCAAAAGCTCTCATTTTTCATGAATAGAACACAATCATCTAAGTACATCAAATTTTGATAACTTAGTACTTCATTCCATATTGTGCATATTTAATTAATTGTCTTACTTTAGACATTTATGCACTACTACCACATTCACTTCAGTAATAGAGCAAATCCAGTAAATTTCATGACTTCTCGTCAAAAACACATTAGTTTTTCTTTAGTCATTTATTATCATCAATATGGTGCATTGAGACTCATATTCAAGGTCTTATCCATATAAAACTGTGTTAGACCGTAAATAGATGGAACTTGAACCCAATATCTTCTCATCATGGTGCATCGGAACTTTAAGCCGATGTCTTACCCTTTTGGTGCGATTGGACGTAAATTCATCGTCTTACCTACAATGAGGCTCAACCTCAAGCCTTCAAAATAATTGTAATTTTATCACTTTTGATGATCATTAACATGATCGTACATTATAATTACACACAAAATCGAAATTATTGATTTATTATAATTAACATTAGTAGTTAATAGATATAGCTTTATAGATCACATATCTTATATAAAGGTTGAAAACATACCTTTCGCTAAATTGTGCTAATTTAATTATTAAAATAAATTAAGAAATTCTCTTCCCAATCGGTTAAAATTAAACGTATAAAAAGTCGACAAGTCTCTTTAAATACTTACTCCAGATGGTAACTCCAGACTGTCACATAATTAATTATAACGTAAAAATAAATCATACCTTGAAGATATAATAACCTTATTGCAACCTTTTTGCACAATGCAAGATCTCTTTTGCACTTTTCTCATCTTCTATCACAATTCTTTAAGAATAGAACAATCCTGAGGATAATGTGTCACTAAACTATATAAATTTAGAAGAAAAATTAAGTAGGGAGAAGAGAAAAGACTCTTATTCATCTTGAAGTATATTCAAGATTAATTGATCTTTCACCAATCTAATTTACAATAAAGGAAAATCATTTATTTATAGGGGAAACCTAACTTAGTCCCAAGTAGGATTCCTAGCCATATCCTAAAAGGACTCCACATAATTAGACATTCACTATAATAATAATATGTTTATAACAAATAAGATATTTTTTGTCAATTTTTTGATTAATCGATTTTGGTATTTAATGGTTCGGTTTTTGATTTAACCAATACAAAATATTTATAAAATAAACATATCATTTCTCTAATAAATTTGACGTGACAACACAATAATGTATTAGAAAAAACTATACAAGTGTAAAACAAAGAGAAATTAAGAGGAAAAAAGTTCTTACTTTAGATTTTGACGTTTTGTATAATGTGAAGTTGTAAATTAATATTCACTTTGAAGTGTGAATTTAAGGCTAAAGGACAAAGGACAATAACTATAAGGTATTGAGATTTATATATAGAATATTTATGTACAAGTAAATGTAGTAAACTACTAGTATTAATGGATTATTGATATACCCAATAAGTCAATATTAAAAACTAATACTGAACCAATAACTCGATAATTTTTATTATAAACCATTAACAAACCCTTAATTCAATAACAATAAATCAATACAACAAATTCGATTTAATTTATCGATCATTTCAATTTTTTCACACCCCTACATATAAGTGTCTAGGGTTTAAAAGGTTATCAAATAGACAAGTTCATTTTATTAGACTAGTGATAATTTAGGGGCGAATTGAAGAAGACGCCCTAACTTTAAGAGGCCTTTAAAATAAATATTAATTAAATTACATACATACACAACTTCACTATATATAATCTCTAAAATTTTCTATCATTTAAAAATATAACAAAAATGCCTTTCTCAGACATATCCCTTTCCCCTCTCGAATACATTCCTCTCTTCTTGAATATGTTCCTCTCCTCTATATACATCCGTTCTCTCTCGGATGCATTCCTATCCTTTATTGCTACGATCCAAAAATAGACGTGATAACATTTGTCTTTTTCCACCTAGACAAGTCGGTCTCAATTGAATGAGCACGAAAGAAATGCGGAAATATAAATCAAGAACAAGATGAAACGCAAAAACTTATTCTATCTATTGAAACCCTTAAAATTTGGCTATCACGTATACAAGTCGCTAAATACATAAAGTGTGAAATTTAAGAAATAAGTACAAGTCGTTTTTCAAATAGAACAAAGTATAAAGAAAAGGAGAAAGAGGTCCCGCTAAAGTAACAAACAACTACCTCTCCAAATCCTTGACAGATTTTGAAATAAGAAGAGAGATAACACATGTCCAGGCTCATAACCTAGATAAATGTAGAAACAAGGAGTGGGTACAAACAACATGGTGTAATCAAGGAACCTAATAAATAAGACATCTAACTAGAAATCAAATACCCCTTACACTAAATATCACTTTCTTCACAATTGAACATTTGGAACTCGAAATTTACAGAAACTTTGAAGTTTAAGTACCAAGTCAACTTAAAAAACTCAATCATACAAGACCCGGGGCCAATATTGAAAGGGCAGAATGGTAAATTTTATGAAAAAACAAAAATGACCATCTGGTTCATACAATTATCTAATACATCTCTCCAATTAAGTAATATATTATTTGTAGTGTATTGGACAATCAAAAAATGTATCCAAGAGCAATGAAAAATCTAAAATTTTTGTAATTAAAGAAACTTTCGGAATATGATGTAATTTGCCCCAGACATAGACGGAGTCAAAATTAGGAGGTTTTTTTTTATCTTTTAATACAAATATAAAGTTTACAAAAAAGCTAGTGGGTTCGTCAGAACCCATGAACACCCAGCTAACACTGTCTTTGGACCCAAATGTATGAGATTTCTGTACGTACTTTATACTTAAATATTTTGTGTATGCATTATTGTTAGAAATGTTTGGACACCTTTTCTTTACCTGTAAATTAAGATATTTAAATATTAGGAGAAAAAAGAATAATGAGTTTAATATATCATGTTGAGAAACATTTAAAAAATGAGTTAGTGATTATGTGGTAGAAGAGAAGTGTTTGATTGTATGATTCCATTATAAGACACTCAATATAGTGGAGATGATATAGATTTTAGATGTGGAGACGTGCTTACATAGCATTGTTTGGCACCTATATATAGCACCACAAGATAAGGAATTAAAGAAACAGAAGAAATCTATTGAGTGGAGTGTACGTAGTACTTAGTAGATATATATTATACAAAAAGAAAAGAAGGATGTCATGGTTATTCAAGTTTGTGAAGGAAGGTAAAGCCTATTTAGCAGTGACATTGTTGCAATTTGGATATGCAGGATCAGCCATTATTGCTAAGTCTGCTCTAAATCATGGCATGAGCCATTTCACCTTTGCTGTCTACAGAAATGTCTTTGCCACTATTGTCTTTGCTCCTTTTGCCTTGGTCTTTGAAAGGTCAATTCTCAACTCACGACATTAAATACTCACTTTCTTAATTTAACACAGAATTTAAGAAAACAATTTTTTTTTGAATTTTATGATTTTAAATTAAAGTCATACTCTTTGTTCTTGTACTCTTGAACATGTCATGTGAAAAGTCGAATTTAAAGTAATACAAAAAAAGGAAAGAATCATTCTTTTTCTTTTTTAAATACACCAAAAAGAAAACAATATTATTCTTTTTCAAATGTAGAGAATAACATTTTGATTTGAAAAAGTATTTATTTTTTTAACTTTTAAAATTTCATTCCAAAACAAAATTAAAATTGAAGCATACTAACTTCTTTTTACTTGAATGAAGTTACTATTATTGATTGTGTTAAAGGGTAATTTAATGTTTTTTTTGTGTGGTAACAGGAAAATAAGGCCGAAAATGAGTATATCCATTTTCTTGAAGATTATGTTGCTTGGCTTAGTGGAGTAAACATCTCTGACAATACTTCACTTTTTTATTTTCCCTGAAAACAAAAACTGACTTTTTTTGCATGCAGGCCTGTCATCGACCAGAACTTGTATTACACAGGATTGAGATACACTACTGCAACTTCTGCTGCAGCAATGTGTAATTTGCTTCCAGCTCTCACCTTTTTGTTGGCTTGGATACTAAGGTAACCAACAACTTATTCATACACGTTCATTATATATACTAAATATTTAATTTTGCTGATTTGCTTCTCACATGTTGGATTGTTTTTGAAAATGTGTTTGTCCGTCTCAATTTATGTGAGTTAGTTTAATTTAATGCTATATTTAAAAAAAATAGTGACTTTTAAAACTTGTAGTCTTTATTAGTCATAGATAATTATATGATTATAAATCAATTGAATTGAATGTGTAGGCTTGAGAAGGTTAATATTATGAGATTATCAAGCCAGGCAAAAATAATAGGAACAACAGTGACATTTGGTGGTGCGATGATTATGACACTTGTTGGAGGACCTACAATTGGATTGCCCTGGACCAGACATGATCACATCAATATTATTCCATCTTCTACTACTGATTTACAACCCATTAAGGGTGCTCTTTTCATAGCAGCAGGTTGTATTTGTTGGGCCTGCTTTTACAATCTCCAGGTACTATTCTAGCTATTAAAATATCTTTTTCTTTTACTAATTAGTATATATGACTAGTTCTTTTTCTTATTTTTATATGTCAAACAAACAGGCAATTACACTGAAGACATACCCTGCATCATTATCACTCACTTGTCTAATATGCTCCGCCGGAGCTCTGCAAGGCACTCTTCTGACCCTTGTGGTTGAAAGGGGCAATACTTCAATATGGGCCATCCAATGGGACACTACATTCTTATCTTACGTTTATAGTGTAAGCTTAAACATCACAAACAGAGTTACGATCAAGAGTTTGAGAGTTTTAAATATTAGAATAGAAAATATATATTACAAAACGATGCTTTCTTCAAAAAGGGGATTTTGAACCCACAACTCTAGCATGGAAATCATTTTCATGGCTATCAATTAGTTTTGTCACTAGTTAATATTATATATATATATATATATAATTTTCTAATACAACTACGATATGTAAAAAAACTCCAAACCCGCCTTTATTTATATATATATATATATATATATATATATTTAATTTTCTAATACAACTACCATATGTAAAAAAAACTCCAAACCCGCCTTTTTCTAGTATTTAGTTGGAGAGGATAAGTTACTTTATGGATGCAGGGAATGGTCACTTCTGGAGTTGGCTATTATGTCTCTGGATTGATAATGAAGGAAAAAGGACCTGTTTTTGTTACTGCATTTAATCCTCTGAATATGGTTATCGTCGCAATTTTGGGTTCATTCATTTTATCCGAGGAGCTTAACTTGGGAAGGTATAATATTTCATACGGCAATGTTTTTGTCCTAATTTATACAACTTACTTTCCCAAAATGCACACATCTTTATTAAATTTGGTGTCAGAATCAAACTAACTCTTATAACTCTTATAATACTAATGTTGTGCCTGTTTAATGTAGAGTTTTGGGAGGGGCAATAATTGTTATTGGACTATATTTAGTAATATGGGGCAAGAGCAAGGACCAACAATCATTGAGTATTGAAGAGACTGCTCAATCTGAATTTGTTGATCAAAAAGAAATATCAAAGTCTTCAAATCAGGCAAAAGTTGGAGATGAATCTGTTTAAGAAGAAATGGCTAGGATTAAATTTAGAAGGATACGTAGAAATAATTAAGGCATAATACAAAAATGTGCCCTTTAATTTGGCTTCAAATCACGTTTATGCTCTTTAATTTTGGATATGCACAAATAGATACTTAATCTTTTATAAAGTTCAACAAATAGACACACATGTCCTACATGTCATCCTACATGTTATTTTTTGTCCTACGTGATGTCCTACGTGTATTGTATCACGTAGTACTCATGTGTTTATTTATTTAAAAGTTGTATAGTTAAAGTGTCTGTTTGTGCATTATGAAAGTTGGAGGTCAAAGTTAAAATTTAAAGACAAGTTTAGGGTTTAATATATATATTATGCCAATAATTAATAACACCTAATTATTGGGTTCTGGGTGGTACTTTTGCATTTCTTTTCTTTAATATTAGAGAAATTGAAAAAGTGTGTGTAGCATCTATCTATTTATTATGCTGAGTAAATGGACCTCCAATATTTAATTAAAATACATATAAGGTGCTAAACTAATCAATCACTTAAACAAAAGAGAGAAATGGTGTGACGAATAGAAAAAGAGAAACAAAATATTTTTGAGACACTGTTTTCTAATTTTTCTCATGACCGGCTGGTCAAATCTTATAGAAAAATATTTTCTCTTGAATTTTTTTTTTCAGAATAATAACGACGACGTTTATGAGAAAAAAAAGGTTCTATAAATGGTATATTACATTGCTTGTTATCCTCAACAACATCCAAACAGATCTTTATCTTCACCTCACCCCACATGTTCATAACCCACTCAATTGTCTAAAGTTCCGTTTCTAAAAAACAACAAATAGAAAAGAAAAAATAGCAAGCAAATAATAATAATTGTATTTGAACTAATGCGAACGTTACAATCTTTATAAAATCTTTAATAAAAGATGTAATCCTCAAATTTTTATCTTCACGGATGTTCTTGATTTGACGAAATGCTTGCGGCTTAACACTTGGAGCGAAAACATCTTTGTATGCGGAAGACTTGCAGTTTACCACTGAAGAGCAACTATATATTTATCTATTTGTGTAAGTTCTTTTGGTCAGGAGAAGACCTCTTTTATAGGCTTGAGTTAGGGTTTTAGGAGTATTTTGGTTCGAGCAATTTCTACCCTGGGACTAAGGAACATGAGTTGAGCTCATCTTGTCAAATTAAAGGACTGATCCAAGTATAATTTGGACTTGATTTAAGTCATATAATTTTGACTTAGATATTAATCCACTTTATCAACCAGTAATTTGACTTGGTCAACATATAGTGAATTTAAGATTTAATCCAAATTTAATATGAATTTATTAATAAAACTTCACTGTCTACAAATGCCCCTGCTTCGAGGCTTGTTGGGGTACTTGATTTGTCGAACTTGTATAGACAAGCCTTGAAGTATTTGTGAAGCAAATATTTTTTTTCGTCGTAGTTGATCTTTCACGAGACATTTGAAGCTTCATGAGAAATGACCATGCCGATATGTTGAGGTCAACATTTACCAGAGTCTTCATGACAATGTTCTCTAATTTGTAAGAGGTCATTTGACTTTCTGTTGTTTATCAACTTATTTTGGACTTGAAGTGTTTCAAGCTCAAGAAGACATATTGCATGAAATTTGTTTATAGTATGGTAATTTCATTTGGGTCATCAACTACGAAATGACCGTCAATTCAATGAGCAAGGATTGCGTCTACAAGTTTGACTTGGTGATAGAGACCTTGTGATTTCGACGCAAATTTTAGGCTTTCACTTGAATAGAACACAAGTAATTCAAATTTTCATGACACGAGTCTATTCTCATTCGGACATATTTTTTTATGTAGTTTTCGAGAAAACTTTACCATAATTTTGTTTCTATGAGATTTTCATAACTCGACTTCTTTGGAAAATTTTCATATTTTGATTCTTATAAACTTGCCATAATTTGGTTTCTATAAAACTTTCATAATTTGATTCCATCAAAACTTTCCATAAAATAATTCCTAAGTACCATAATTTTCATAATTTGTAGGAAATAAACTTTCCATCATTATAATTTTTCATAATTTGTAGGAATATAATTTATGTATTTTGATTTCAATAAATGCACAAGCTCTTATAAGGATTGATTGTCAATTTGAGACATACAAAATTATGATCCGTTTGATGTTCGAGTAACTAGGCTCAGAGGGCTACAATGTATCCGAAATTTAAAATCAAAACCCTTCAGAATTGGCAGTAATTAATATTTGAACTTTGCTATCATATCTGTTTTTTTTATATAACTATATGCAGTTCTACCAAAACGTCTCTATCTTGGTGTAGGAGATTCCAAATGAGGAGCGACTTGTTTCTATAGAAACTAAACATAAAAGTCTACAATATATCAATAAATCAATGTAAAACTCTCATGGATTGACGAGAATTAATCTTTTAGAAGCTGGTCTTCAATGTTGTCATTATTGTTTTGCATATTGTGGAGTCTCACCAAAACATTTACATCTTGGTGTAGGAGAGCTCGAGTGGAGAGTGACTTGATTCGATAAAATAGACTCTTAAGTTTACAAGATATCCAAAAATCAAAGTCAAAGTTCTTACGAAATTCTTCAAATTTGATATTTTTAAAATTAGCGAGCCAATTGACTTTGAACAACAATCATGAGTTCACTTCTATGCATCTTTGCCAAAGAGCCGTAAATTGATTGAGTTTTTTTTATATAACCATGCAGATTTGAAACTTCGTGCAATTGGAACTGTGAGACATATCTTGCATCATGACGAGCGGTAGAGAATATGCCATAATTTTTACCATGCCAATTTCAAATTTCATGCAATTGGCACTGTGAGATACATCGTTCATCATGACGAGCCTGAGAGTATATGCCACAATTTTCACCATGCCAATTTGAAGATTCGTTCAATTGACACCGTGAGATTCATCATTCATCATGACGAGGGGGAGAGCATATGCCATACTTTTCACCATGCCAATTTGAAACTTCGTGCAATTGGCACCGTGAGACACATCATACATCATGACGAGCAAGAGAGCGTTTGTCATAATTTTCACTATGCCAATTTGAAGCTTCATGCAGTTGACACCGTGAGACACATCACTTTTTTTTACCAGGTTTACGATTGATCAAAAACAGTCTCAATATCATACCATACGAAAGAGGGGTAATCCATAATTGGCAAGGAACTACTTGATGCATCTTCATTTGTAGTTGCAATTTAGACAACGAATCATACTTGATGTAATATTTATATCGATTGTGGCTTTGATGGGGATGAACACACTTTATGCATCTTTTTTTAAATGTGTATTTGACGATAAACTACACTTGGTGCATTTTATTTTGCTTTTATGGCCACACATGATGCATCTTCTTTTGTAGTTTCAACTTTGATGATGAACCACACTTGGTGCCTCTTCTTTTGCAATTGCAGCCTTAGTAACAAACCATTCTTCGTAAAAAAAATTCTACAATTGCAACTTTGATGACGGATCATAAATGATCATCTTCTTTAGAGTTGTAGCTTTGATGACGAACCACACATAAAAATATCTTTCCTTTTTGTAGCTGCGACTTTGACGACGAATCACACTTGATATATCTTCTTTTGTAGTTTCAACTTTGATGACAAAAAAGACTTGGTGCCTCTTCTTTTGCAATTGTGACTTTAGCGAAGAATCACACGTGAATATATTTTAGGAGGAGCACCAGGCGCAATGACTTCCTTGGTGACTTTCTTGGTGGAACTACTTCCAATGAAGACATCACATCATTAGAAGGTGAACCTTCTTGGTGGAACTACTTTTGATCCACACAAAAAAATCATTTACCGCGCCAAATCAATCTTTATTTCTGAGATGTTCGGCGCATTGTGTGGATAAATTACACAATTTTCCTTAGGTTCTTCAGATGACTTTACAGAATTTGAGTCATGTATTGCTTCAACTCTTGAGAAGATTAGAAGGGTAAACATTACTGATGTTTCTTCTTTGGATGATCATGTCGAGAATTTCTTCAAATCGTATGCCTTGATTTTAGATCATCAAAGATGACTAAAGAATCACATGAAGAGGGCCTCTCTGATGCGCAACACCTTCTCGATGGTGAAAAGGTGGCATATGAAAAGTTGGATGGATCCATGGAAAAACTTCAAGCGACTCTAGCGGATGTGGAGAAATACTTAAAAGCCTTGACTTCAAAGAAAAAGAAGGTGATTGCACTCATTAACAAGTATCAAGAGAAGCAACCTGGAAGGGGCGGTTAAGAAAAGTCGCAAGGAAATCATAAGCTTCAAACTTTTTCCATAGCTTGATTTTCTTTTTATCTTTTTATTTATCTGTTTGGGGATGTGCTAATTCGCTCATTATGGTGTAATGATTCGATTTTTTGAAGTAATAAAATATTGAATTATATTTCAACAAGAAACTCCTCATATTGAACTTTGATTGTTGATTGTTTTTTTCCACGAAATCCTTTTCTATATTGGAAAAAAGACTCCATAAGCTAGCGTTCATATGAAGATTTCAACAAAACATTCTTTTTAGTTTTCTTCAACTTTGCGCACATGAGGAAGAAAATTCATAACTTGACTTAGGAACTCGGAATGATAAGCTTCTTTTTTTGTTAGAAAGAAAACTCAGAGATTTTCAATCTACACAAAAATCACGTTCATGTGATATATTAATTAGTACAGATATGTGATCGAACTTGACTCAAAATCATCATGCTTAAATCTTCAGCTTTCTTCAGTTTTGCGAACATGAGGAAGAAAATTCATAGCGTGGAGTACGAGCATCAGAGTAATGAGATTATTTTTTGTTTGAAACATAACTTAGGTATATTCAATTTATATAAAAATTAAATCCATGAAATTTACGGTTTAGTACGGATTTGTGTTTGAAGTTGGCTTAAAATAAACTTGCTTGAATCTTTAGCTTTCTTTAGCTTTGCGTACATGAGGAAATAAATTCATAAAGTGGAGCAGGAACATCGGCATAATGACTTTCTTTTTTTTGATAGAAAGATAATTCTAGATCTTCAATATGTAGAAAAATTAAATCCACGAGATTTACGATTTAGTACAGATTTGTGTTTGAAGTTGACTCAAAATCTACATGCTTGAATCTTCATCTTTTTTCAACTTTGTGCACATG